TTCCCTTGCATTTTATTAACTGCCTCACCTGTACAGAAATGTCAAGCTCTCTGATATATTTATTTTGCAGGGATGTTTCAACTCCCTTCAAATCACCTTCCCCAGACTCCTCTGTGGAACCTGGGGAAAGTGAAAGTTACCTGAATGCAGAGAAATTTGACCTCTTAGGTGAAATTTTTGAGACACTAAACTTGCTGGAGTCAAGCCAAGCTCAACAGCCTCTCTATGGGACCCGCAGCTTGGATTTCTGTAACCTAGAAGAGGAGAACTTCTATACTAAGGTAAGCCCTACCAGCTCAATCCCTGGGTACCTATGGAGGTGCAACTGCAATAATGAAGCTGAACCCTGACCCTGTTGTCTTCGGACCTATTGCAGCGGAGGCCCAGTAGGGAGGCCCTTTACGAAGCCCTATGTGAGGAACAGGATGCTGCTGATGATGCTGATGATTCTCTGTCCGAGGACAGAATGTTCCTGGGCTACGTGGATGAAGAGAACATGTCAAGCACTTTGCCGTTGTCTGCCAGAGCTGCAAGCACAAGTAATGAAGTGTTGGTCCACAGCTCCCCTGAGCTGCAAGTTTGTCCTGGTCTGGACACCCCAACTCTTTCCTTCCAGGAGGCTAGCAGTGAGCCATCAGAAGCGCCATTGACCCAGAAGGCAGATCTTGAAACTGCCTTTCCTAGTCCACTTACACCAGAGAGCCACACTGCTACCAAGTTGCAACAGGAATGTAGGACTGACCACCAGACCCTTGAACCTCCAATCAACGAGAACCTGAAGGTTGAGTCATCAGTTGCTAGTAGTTCCACCATCCAAACACCTGCAGATTTTTTACAAACAAAAGCCAATGACTCTGTGGCAAAGAAGAACATCCTAGGCAGGGCCGCCAGCTTACCGCCTCAGTTAGTTTCTAGGCAGTTGATGCAGCCTAAAGTGCTGGAGCTGAGGAAAAGATTTGAGTCCTGAAAGAGCATCCCAAAAATAAACTGAACGTTTAAGAGAAAAGAACCTCCTGTGTTTGAGTCACAATTACTTTTTAAACCTGGAGGCCTTTCAAGAGGGAGCAGCAGTGTAGAAGTGCTTCATCTGTCCAGGCACATAAAAATACTGCAAGAAGCAGAAGTGTGTTTGTGTGTGGGGGGCGGGGGGGGGGTATCTATCAATAGCACAAAGGAAAAAGAGCACTTAGTTCATGTACAGCCAACTGGCAGGACTTCATTCCTAGAAGCTGAATTTCAATAAATGAATTTGTTGAGCTGCGCAGACCTCCTTTCCTCCTTTCAGGGTGGAAGACTGTTTCCCATGTCAACCTTTATCAAGCAGCAGCATATCAGGAAAAGTAGTTTGGCATGGTGGTGGCATGGTTTACATATGTAAATGAGTCCCTGAAGTTCAATGCCCATAAATAAAATCAAGCAGTATTACCTAAAGCAGGCTTGTCCAACCTTTCACCTTCCCTGGGCCACATTAGAAGATGAAAATTTGGTTTGGGCCTCACATAAAATAAAATAACAGTAACGATACCTGATCATCCAAAAAAAACCATAGAAAACATTTTTTTCATAAGATATCATAAAAAATAGTCAACCAGGGAGAAAGGAACGTGGGGGGCGGGGAGAAAGCTCGCCCACCTCGCGCCTATCTCTCCTCCTGCAAATGGCCCAGCTGGATGCGGCAGGACTGGAAGGCGAGGACTGGGAGGCTCGGTGCACCAGCAGCAGCAGTGGTGGCGGGGGCAGAAGCCGCTACAACAGCTCCGGTGGCAGCAGCGGCAGCAGCAACAGCAGGAGGTGGCGGAGCGGGACTCTTGGGCTGCGGCTGCCTGGGCACGAGGAGCACTCTGACAGCGCCCGCCTTTTCTGTTGCTGCTTGGCGTGGCGCTCGCCTCGCCCCGCCTCGCGCCTGCCACTCCTCCTCCTCCTCGCTGGCTCGTCCTCTTGCACGAAGGTTGGGGTGGGCACTGGGCCGCATTACGAGCCGACCTGGGCCGCATGCGGGCTGCGGGTTGGACAAGCCTGACCTAAAGTGTTATGGTAATGATAGTTCTGGGGGTGGGGGGAGTGAGTGAGTTTGCCTGCTGATTTTTTCTGTAAGCTATAAACCAGTCCTTTGCCCCTCTATGTTGATAAAAGCTATGGATCCATCAGGCCACTAATACAGAAATAAATCAAGCCCTTTCTAGGTCCAGAATTTGCTATGTAAATAATTACAGAAGAGCAGCCAGAAATAGCTAGATTTAGCAAGCAGTGGGAAGGTGGTGTAAGAAGCCTTAAATCTTAGTAGAGATAAAAGGTCATAAAAGGGGGAGGGTACTCCTGAAGGGAAAAAAAAATCTAGTGGGTGGTTTTAAAGACTTCTTCAACTTAGATTGTAGGTTGCATTGGGTCAACTCTAATGATTCTATTAAGATACATCCTTTTTGGTAGTCCACCAAGTGCTTCTGGCTATAAGCAACCTTGCTATTTTAAGTTAATACGTGAAATTATCTACCCCAATGCAGCTTCCACTGCACACACACACGCACACTAAAGTTGTCCAAACCTGAGTTAAAAATCCTCCTTTCAGATCAAAATTCAGACACTTAGCACCATATTTATGACGGTTGCATGTTCTCAGGGTCATGTGAGCATCTTTTGTGTCCTTCTGACAAGCAAAGTCAATTCACTAAACAACCATGTTACTAACTTAACAACTGCAATGATTGACTTAACAACTATGGCAAGAAAGGTCGTAAAATGGAATAAAACAACAAACATCTTACTGAGAAGCAGAAAATATGGGCTCAATTGTAGTCGTAAGTCAAGGTCTACCTTTATATGATACTATACAGCAGTGGTCGCCAACCTTTGTGAACCAGGCTGTGGGAGCAGTGGACTGGCGCATGTGCAGTGGCACTCAGACAAGAGAGAAGTCTTTGGGGCAGGGTTCTGAGCTCCTTCAGACTTCTCCACGCCAAATTTTTTTGCAAAAGGACGGAAATCCTGAAGCAGTGAGAAATCACTCTCCCAAAGCCTTTCATCCATTTGCAAAAGCTTTTGGCGGGAAAAGCCTGTGGTGGCGTGTCCCGTGTTCCTTCAGCCTCAGTGAGTCAGCAAAGCTGAGCAGAGCGTACTCAGCCTCTGGTCTCACTGCTCGGCTTTTGGAGCAACGGGAGCAGGCGGCTTGGCAGCCTGGCTGTGGGGGTAGTGGGGGAACTGGGCCACATGCACGCAGCTCCGCACTCATGCGAGAGAGAAGTCTTTGGAGTGCCACTCACAGGAGTGGAGCTAAGCGCACACACCAGCCCGGCTCTTGTGTGGCCCAGTTCCAAATAGATTTCGACCCCAGAGTGCAGGGGTCTCTAACCTCAGCAACTTTAAGCCTGGCGGACTTCAACTCCCAGCTGGCTGGGGAATTCTGGGAGTTGAAGTCTGCCAGGCTTAAAGTTGTCCAGGTTGGAGACCCCTGCCATAGTGGACCATGGCCTGGGGGTTGGGAACCCCTGCTATACAGTACTGTGCTGCCACCTAGTGTCCGCCAAAGCATAAAATATTCCTTTGTAAGTTTCTTACACTGAACCAGCTTTTCACCCCTGAACTTGGATGGCTTCAAGTAATCCTCAATTTACAACTGCAATTGGAACCAAAAACACCAGTCACTTAATGAGGTAGTCATTAAGTGAGTCACAGCTGATTTTAAGACCTCTTGCCGCAACTCTTAGGCAAAACTGGCTTTCCCCATTGACTTTACTTGTCAAAAACTGAATGGAAAAGTCACAACTGCAGGATGCTGCAACCATCAAAATATTTGCAGGTTGCCAAGTGCCCAAATTCTGTTCATGTGACAGCAGGGATGCTGTGGTGGTCCTAAGTGCAGTAAAAAGTCACTTTTTTTCAGGGCTGCTATAACTTTGAACAATCGCTAAAAGATAGGCATAAGACAAGGACTAACTGTAGAGCAGCCTGGATGTCTCTTTATGCCCTTATTCTAGAGTTAACTCATCACTGCAAAAAAAAAAAAGAAACCAACTGCCGGCATTCTATGCAATGCACAGAAAAGGGGGTAAAGCAAGCCCTCCCTCAGGCAAGAAAGCCAGCTAGGTGCTTTGGGCCCGTCATTCTTGGCCCAACCCACTTCCAGAGTGGTGACTGTGGAGAAAAGAGGAGGCAGGAACATTATATACCCAGCCTTGAGTTATAGAAAATAAAAATAGGGATGTAAACTGAATGACCCAATATTTCAAAATAAGATACGTGAAAGATGGTGACTTCGAAGAGCTTGGAAGAAGGAGAGTGAAGCAGCAGCACTTGTAACTGAAGAATACCATAAATAAAGAGTGTATTTAATGTGTGAGGTCTAGCAACATTTTTAGATTCTTGATAAGATGGAATAAGGCTTTCTATGATTTGCTTCATTTTATTGCTGGGTGTGAATGATATCCTCCATTTACGCATTTAGATCGTTTCAGAATAAATTTTCCACCAAGCAACTCAGCGCATTAACCCTCCCTCACCACAAGTGGTGCCATTTTTTCCTCATCAAAAAAGGGAGATGGACTTTTATTAGAAAATAGCATTCTTAAAGGCAGAGGACAACCAACACAGACTTTAAAAAACACTTGAAAGGCAAAAACCCCACCCAGAATCCACCAGTTGGGCCAAGGCAGCAGCCTTCCTATCCCAAAATCACCATCCTTCTCTCTTCAGAAAGGCCGACCGTTCCCACTGGCTGCACAGTCAATCCTATTCTAGGAAGAAGACCACGACTTGTCCTTGAGGTCAGTGCAAACAGAGCATATCCAGCCAGCATGGTCTGTTCTCATAGCATCAGGCTGGGCCTTTTCTTTCCGGCTGCAGAGAGCAGGATCCCATCTCGCATCTCTACCAATCACAGCTTCCGGGCTGCCTTCTTTCTGGCATTTGGAACTTCTCCACTGACAGCTATTCATAGCTAGCCAGCCAGCTGGGAATGCTGCCAACCATACTGGGGATCTTCCAGTTTCACAGGTCCATTCTCAGTCTTTTTTTTTTTTAGTCCAGTGTGCTAAGCAGCTTTTTCCAAGGAATGATCCCAAAATGGAGTCCTTTTTCCGTCTGTCAGATAAGTCGCTCCTCTGGTGGCAGCTTGAGGTTGGTCTGCGGTTCCACACGGGCCCCTGCCTGCTCTTCATTGCTGGGCTGGTAAGTCCCTTCTGTCTGGCGCTTCTCCCGAATTTTGAGTCCCATGAAAACCAAAAGGCCGATTAGCAAGAGTCCTACAAAAACACAAGGCACAGCTATGGCAGCTTCCAGTTCCGCCTTCTGCACAGAGGAAGAGTTGAAGAAAGAGAGCAGAGTTAGCTTCTGTTCAACACAAAAACAGAGCAGGGCAGAGCCCAACATGGAAAAGCTACTACCCACCCTTTGCAGTCTGTGCTGCACCAATCAACAGCTGTCACACATCAGTACAGGACAGGTAGTCCATGAGTAACAATGGCAATTGGGACTGGGATTGCTGTTGCTAAGCGAGGTAATCATAAACCCAGGAGTCCAAGTTGCTGTCATAATAACTGCTGGACCACTAGGGTCATTGAGTGGGTAGAGGCAGGAGTTCCAGGTAAGGAGTGCACCAAGGTCATGTGGAGGATGTGGGTATGTTGTGGGTGGGCACTAGGGAGCATATATGGGCCGGTGGGACTGTGGCTGGGCATTAGGGAGTGAGGGCAGTCCAGCAAGGACCTTGGGCAGGCGGGGAGTGCTGCAAGCAGGATGCTATGGAGCATGGGAAGGAGGGGGATGTTGCAGACATACTCCCTAATGGGGTTTCTCAGGAGAAAAAGTGGCAAAAGCAACTTATATTACTGGCTTGTGACTGTCTCTGGTGGCTACCCCTTGACTTTGCTTGCTGGAAGCAACCAGGGATGTTCACAAATAGTTATTCTTTGACTGCAGGGAATCTGCAATCTGCAACATTATGGACCCATCATAAGTACCCCTCATTCAGCACATTTTAAACAGTCAAAAATGTCACTATCCAAAGCCACAGTTTTACTTATGCACTAAGTCACAGCAAGCTTTTGAAAATATTTGGAAGAGGTATTTGAAATCTCATACAAGTCGAGCAACTCTGCTATCCATAAAACAAACAGATTGTCATTTTTTAAAGCTTACGCACAACTGGAAACGATTCACCTCCTTTAAGAATCACATTAAAGACACACTGCTTCGTTCTTTAATTCACTAAACTGCCACAGCTCCTTCTCAGGCTCGGAGCCTTTATCAATTATGGTAGGATGGATGGACACACAGACAGAAAGCAGAGACCTTGTACAAGATCATCTATGTTTGTTTACTTCCAATTCCAAAAGTGCAGCTCAAGTCCAGACCCCCATTGCCAATGCATTCTTGTGTTTGTGTGTACTGAAAACAGTCAGACTTTTACAAGCACTCATATGAGAACACAACTATCTTTCAAGGTTTGTCTCTTTTAAAAAGCTGGACTTAGTGAGTCAAAGGGTACTATCTTGTGGTGATGTTGTGGTGATGTCCACCTTGCCCATCTTACATTACATTATCAATCTTCAAGTCACCCAATTTACCATAGCAAACACAAGCATCAATTGTGTTCTTTTCACTCACTGGAAAGAACAGAAATTGCTCTAGGGTTACTATACCTTTCCCTCAAGAACTATTAGAAACTCAGCTCACATTTCAAGACACCTACCGAGAGGCCTTTGGAAGAAGTGGTTGGCACTGATGTTGTAGGAACCACTGTGCTGTTGTCACTGGAGGAACCTTGGAGAGACATAAAACAGCATAAGACATACAGGAAGAGCCTCCTATCTGGCTCTAATGCCATGGAAGTAACTCTGCAGATGATGTTGTACAACACCTCTCCATTACAAAGTACAGCATTACAGATAGGGGACAGTGAAGCTCTCCCTCATTCCCTCCAGTAAAAATAAGGCCACAGTCTCATAACACCATCTATTCAAAATTGGTGTCTATTAGGAAAGTCTTTCTATTTGGGTCTGCACATCTAATTTGTCTTCAGGAATAATTTCTGTTCTCTGGAGCACAAAAAAAGAATTCTGCTTCATCTTCCAGATGTTATTTTTATGTTAAATAGACAATTGATATCATATCACTCCAATCTTCTCTCCTCAACCCTACACATACTGTATAGCCAATTTCTTCTCCATTTTGTCATGGGATTATATGTCTATGCCCCTCACTATCCTGGCTGCCTTTCTGGACTTTCCACTTGTTTGTTTTTTAAATACAATTTAGCCATAAATAGGACATGGTATTGCAGATGAAAGCACTGCTGAATGAAAATTAGTCTTGACTATTAGTGGTCCTGTTACTTTGCTGGATCATGGTCAGCTTGTCAACAACTATGGCCCTTAAGACTTTTCATGCATACTGTTGCCACTGTACTCCGTTGCCTTTGTTCTTGGACCTAAATGCAGGAGCATAGATCAGGCTTTAGAGTTCCAGTTTCATAAACACCCTAGAGAAGCATTTAAATCATGAATAAAAATGTGGAACATCATAGGGCTTAGAACAGAACTTAATGGTACTCCATTTATGTGTTTCCTCTAAGATGATTTTTTAATAACACGCCAGCCAAGAAATCAAATCTGTGCAAGGTAATGGGTTATTTTAATCCAGCCATACACTACTAAATGCAATCCCACCAAGTGACTGTTAGGATATAATATACCCAGGCATCTTTGTAATGTGGTAAACAGGTGGTAAACACCTGGATTGTTTCTTTTTTGTTTGAGTAAAAAAGAATAAGATATAGTACTTCTGTGTGTGAAATGGACAAATATTCAGGGAGAATCCAGGGTAGTAGTAGCAGAAAGAAATGCTTGTCGAGGAATAGCTTCAGTCATTCATTAATTCCCAATGCTAGTGAGGGTTTGGTTGTTTCAAACATTCAAGCCCACCACTAGGTCCTTAGATAATCACTAAGGCATTGGAGACCCTCTCTACTGGGACATTGCCTGCCCTGTTTATACCCAAGTTAATGTTTTGGGCATTAGGGAAGCAGAAACATGGATAGACTACTTCTACAAAGTTTAATTCAAATCCTGCCTATATAAATACATTTTCAGACTCAGTTGCCAATCTCTGGTTGTTGTTGTTTTCTATTATAGGGCTCAACAATCTTTTCACCTGAATAGTCCATCCATGAGTTTCCTTTTAAAAATGTCCCAAATACCAGCAAGGTTTCTAAGCCTCACCCAAGAACATTTAGGAAAGGACTCCCTTGACTACTGAATTGCTGGTTTTATTTTTATTTTTAAAGAAACTTCCATTGACAAGCTTTCACCTTGCTCTTGGGGCAGGTGTGGCCCATGTTTGGATAGTTTCTGCTCCCAGGCATTCCATTTCTGTCTTGGCCTGAGCACTGTTTCAGGTATGAGAAAGTAGGAGGTGGAGTCACCAGGTTTCAGCAGTCTTTCCAAGTTTCAGAGAGAATCCACGCCCAGAGCGATAGGCAGGCACTAGCGATTTAGCTAGATCTCATTCCCTGGCCTGAAGGAGTCTGAACTATACCCTGAAACTGTTTTGCAATTCATAGGTGAGGTCTAGCCAAGAGCCAAATAATTCAGGGGAAGCCACAGAGGGAAGAAAAGGGTTCTGCTATTAGTTGAGCTGTTATTTTAATGTCTCACTATATTTGAATGAGCAGACATTTTAAGGTTAATGACGTTCTCAGATCGTAGAGAAATTAAAACTACCACAAGGCACGTACATAATTGTGATCTCTCTGAACACAAACCAATTTGCTTCTCTACCAAAATGGATGTCAAATATTTTCCAAATATGTATATTTTCCAACATTTTCCATAATGTTGTATAATTTATTTATTAAAACTATTTCTATTTCTTTATGGACATCTCCCAAGATAGCTTGTGCAACAGAATAAACTCAACAAGAAAACTTTAAATGTTTGTATTCAAAACTGTCTCAAGTTCTAAAATCAAGTTCAGAGTAAAAGCTATGCAAAATAACATTGCTATGCAAAACACATTCAAGGGTTAAATTGAATTTTAAGTTCATTAAATTTGAATGAAGGGAGCTTTCCCCAAATAGTCAATAAAAGCAGATATTCCAGGTCCTCCATTAACATTTGCAATCTAGTAGGGCCCTTCTCCATGCCTGCTGGGATTGCTTTGCTGAAAATCTGGGACCCTGCTGTGTTTTCAGAAAGCTTGAAAGACTTGGCTTTGTTCCACAGGCCTTGGGTTAGAGTGATTTCTGGCTCTATATTTGTTTGATACGGAGTATTTTACTTTGTTTATATTTATACTGTTTTCTCCCATGTTATTTAACAGTTTAATTTTTTTTGTTTTTTTCCCCTCAAATGTTTTCATTAATTTATAACCTATTTCCTTAGATTCGCTTTAGCATTTGAGAAGGTTTATAAGTAAAACAAATAAAATAAAAATAAGTATATAATGATACCTTACATGGAGCACTGTTTGAATGACATTGCACTCTTGGTAAATACTTTACACTCTAAGGTATCATATGATGCCTGCCAAAATAAAGCCAATCAATGAAAGCCAATCATACTCCAACAGGAGATAGAATTCCTAGAATTTGTAGTATAAGCTGGATATTTACTATCCAAACACTTGCAGATACATTGTTTTACTCTTTGGGAGAGGGGAGTAATTAAGAGAAGACATTCTGACTGTTGGGTATGATCCACTCTTTGGGGCAATCACTAAGCAGACAGACAACTGTATCAACCACCAACCAACAGAGATGCCAGATTCCCTCCCCAAATTCCAGCCAGCCCATTCTTCTTTCTTTTATGGCAGCAAAGGTAGCTCACCCACCCTGACCCCATGCAGGATGCAAAAGGGATTGGAGAGACACTGTCAGAAGGAGTGCAAGGTGTCCAGAGCCGGCCATTGCCCACCTCTCCAGGTAGGAGAGGGGCAGGATGAGGGGAGGAAGTCCCCACTGCTGCAGGAGAAAGGCTGCTGGCACTAACTTCTGTCTGTACTGCAGCAACCTCCCAAATACTCCAGGTAGTTCTTCTGCTGCAAGAAAGTCCAGGTTTGCTTGCCACTGGAAAAAAAAGAAACAAGGTGAATGATACTTAAATGTCTGGGCAACTTCTAGATTTGAATCTGGGCCACCTGCAATCTTAATACAACAACTCAGAAATTGTCTGGAATCATCAGTAGATATTTCTTCCATTGACCAAATGGTCAACTAGATGTTCTTCTGAATGGACAAGTCAATAAGAGTGTTGAACAGGACTGCAACTGGCTTGCTGTATTCTTTGGTACAGCCACTGAACGTTCTGTTCTCCACCAACATCGCAATTCTAATAATCTTTCCACTCCACATCCATACACAAAACCGAGACAATAGATCAGGCATCCTATCCAGCAATGTAACATATTCCTCCATAAATATATAATACTCCATAAATTGTTATTCATAAACACATTCCTGGGAGACATTGTGTGCATTTAATTTCTCGTGACTGTCTACTGAAGTATTATAAAGGATATCCTTATATAAATATGTAGCATAGTTTATAAAGTGCTAAGCGGCAAGTAGTATTCAAGCACATATGCAACAAAGTCAGAATACTCTGCTGCTTCTTGTCGGCAGAGCACACTGCATTCAGCCATTATGGCTTAGAATGATTTTTGATGGCACCAGTGGTAACCCATGGATTGTTTAAGGAAGTAAGCCAGACTTTGATACCACTGTTAGCTTATTTATTACGACTATGGCTTAAGAAGGATCTCTGGATTTGGTTTATAGTTTGCTGGATTATTACTGGATTGTTTTAGAGCTCTGCCTAAATGTTTTTCTGAATCAAACAGATGCAAGCAAGGACACCTAAAATGGGAGCAAAAACAATTCAGTAATTTGACTAATCATGCAGATTATCTATGTGGTGGCTGGAAGTCAAAAATGGTTTGGTGACACATAATTAATCAATTGGCTAAACAAGCCACTACAGTATTACTTTTCTCATTACAAGGCTGACTGTCTCATTTCCCATTTAACAGATTATGGTAAATATGATTTACTGGTAAATGATATTAAGACCTTAAATATGGACAGCCTAAACCAGAAAACGGCAATAAAATCAATGCAATTTTCTTCTGATATTGCAGTTTGGGACATGCATTAGCAGTGCCCAAAACCCCTAAATGATTAATATTGTGGGAAAAGAGTTGGGAGTTCCCAAACAACTGTTAAACTTTATGTATAACTGAAAAATAGCATTTAGATAGATATAAGCAACCTACAAGTAATTTAAAACAAAAACCTGGAACATCTTGTTTTAATAAAGAAACCCTATGTTATTATCTTAAAATGTGATTAACACAACCAAAGATTCTGGGAATTATTAGATACACCACAAAGTACAGGTAGTCCTCGACTTACGACCACAATTGAGCAAAAAAAAAATTCTGTTGCTAAGCAAGACAATTGTTAAATGAGTTTTGGCCCTTTTTTATAAACTTATTACAGTTTTTTAAGTGAATTTGGCTTCCCTGTTGACTTTGCTTCTTGTCAAAAGGTTGCAAAAGGTGATCACATGACCCCAGACATTGCACCCTCATAAATACTGCCAACTGTGAAGCGGTCAAATTTGGATCATATGAACATAAGGATACTGCAATGGCTGTAAGTCATTTTTATCAGTGTAACTTCAAATGGTCACTAAACAAATGCTTGTAATTTGAAGACTACCTGTATGTTGTACAGATTGGGTTTCTGTATGTTAGAAATATAATATTTTGAAAGAGACAGCACTTGTACATTTTGCCCTTGTTTTCTTGTGCCATTATTTTGGTTTAATATTCACCAAGTTGCTGAGAAAACAAATATTAAAGATATGAATGTGAAGCTAAATTACATTTGAAAACTCAGTTAAGGAAATTTAGCTCTCCTATGCATGGGATACAACTAAAAATATTGTTTTATTATTTCACACTTGACATAAATCTCTGGATGAAATATGGGTAGTCCTTGACTTACAACAGTTCATTTAGTGGCCATTCAAAGTACAATGGAAAAATGGGACTTATGACCACTTTTCACAGTTACTACTGTGTTTCTCCAACAATACGGCCTCCCCCAATAGGAAGTCCAGCATGTTTTATAGGCATTAAATGAAATTAAGCCCCTCCCTCCAAATTAAGGCCCATATTAAAGCATGTGAAATGGGGGGAAATGGCGGGGGGCTTGCGGTTAGGAGCGCCCTGAGGGCAGCCATTCCTCGCCACCAACCTCCCTACTGTCACCAACTACTTTTGCTGCACACCTGGATATGGTGCTGCCTGAGTTGACCTCGGCGTTGGAGCAATGCCGCGGCATTTGGCACAGCCACGCGGCATTTGGCGCAGCCACGCGGGGCCCGCCAGGGCTTCTCCCTGCAACCGGAGCCCGGCAGAGACACTCGGCTTCAGGCGCTCCGGTCGACACCTTCCCGGGCATCATTCGAAGGCAAAGCCCATTCTTTTAAAAATGACGCCCTATTACGACAAAGCCTCCCCTGCCCAAGAGGGCAGCCCAACCCCACGTGGGGAGGCGAATCTCCCGGGGCCGCAGCGCAGGACCAGCCCACCCCAGAAGAAGTGCCCAGCCGCCATCCCTGCCTGGCGCCGGGCAGAGCGTGAAGAGCTTCACCTGGGGTGCCCAGCACAGCTGACAAGCGGGCCCTCCTGCCCGGCAGCGGAGCTCTGGCCAAGGCAGCGAGGGCCTCCCCGCTGGGCCCTCCCCTCATCCCGCCAGGGTCACACCGGAGCCGGGCGGGATGGGCAGAGCCGGGAAAGTGAACCACGGGTGCACGCCTGCCTGCCAAGCGAAAGAGCCAGGCCGACCCGAGTTTGGCTACCCAAGTACCTCCAGTCCGACCCCAAAGGGGCCACCGGGAGAGGCCGCCCAAGGCAGTAATAGCGCCCACCCCTCTGCGGATAGGGAGGTGAGGCAATGACAGTGCTGCTTCCCTGGCAGCAGGTCTGGTGGAGAGAGCTCGAAGCCGCCTGTCCTTTCCACCCCTTGCCGAGCCCATCTCCGTCCCCACGCACCTCCAAATGCACCGGCAGCTCCAAATGCTGCAGCAGCACGGGCACTGGGCAGAGGTGCTCACTCAGCGGGGCTCAGTTTGGAGGAGGACGCGGCATGGGCCGTCGCCTTGCCTCCCTGTCCATGGATGGATGGGCACTATTACTGCCTCGGGCGGCCTCTCCCAGTGGCCCTTTCGGGGTCAGGCTGGAGGGACTTGGTAAGCCAAGCTCGGGTCAGCCCAGCTCTTTTCTTGGCAGGCGAGCTCGCACCTAGTGGCTCACTTTCCCGGCTCTGCCCAGTCTGCCCCGCTCTGGCGCGGCCCTGGTGGGATGAAGGGAGGGCCCAGCAGGGAGGCGCTCACTGCCTTGGCCAGAGCTGTGCTGCCAGGCAGGAGGGCCTGCCTGTCAGCTTTGCTGGGCACCCAGGCAAAGCTCTTCACCCTCTGCCCGGTGCCAGGCAGTGATGGCGGCTGGGTGCTTCTTCCAGGGTGGGCTGATCCTGTGCTGCGGCCCTGGGAGATTCACCTCCCCACGTGGGGTTGGGCTTGGGGAGGCTTTGTCGTAGTAGGGCGTGGTTTTTAAAAGAATGGGCTTTGCCTTTGAACGATGCCCGGGAAGGCAGCAACAGGAGCGCCTGAAGCAGAGTGTCTCCGCTGGGCTCCAGTTGCAGGGAGGAGCCCTGGCCGGCCCCGTGTGGCTGCACCAAAAGCCATGTGGTTGCGCCAAATGCTGCGGCGGTGTTCCAAACACTGCGGCGGCACAGGGAGAAAGGGAAGCAACGGTGGTGGAAGGTCTCCCGATACAAAGTGCTCCACCAACACCGAGGTCAACATCCAAGCCATCGCCTCCTGCCCGCCCGAGGATGCAAGGAGGGGGGGATTAAGTCACACCCAAAAAGACGGCCTAGCTGTTTTTTCGGGGCTCAAAAAAAAAAGACCCGGCCTTATTATATGAGAAACACGGTACCTTTGCAGCATCCCAAGGTCATGTGATCACTTTTTGTGACCTTCTCACAAGCAAAAGCATTTGGGAAGCTAGATTCGCTTAACAACCTGGTTACTAAGTTATCAAGTTATATCTGTGGCAAGAAAGGTCATAAAATGGGGAAAAACTCATTTAATAAACGTCTTGCTTTAACAACAGGAATTTTGGGCTCAATTGTGGTCTTAAGGGTACAATTCAAGGTGCTAGTTGTCACCTTTAAAGCTCTTCATGGCTTGGGACCAGGTTATCTGAGGGATCATCTCTTGCCAGTCACATCTACCCGACCCTTCAGAGTGAAGAGGCAGGGGATGTTGCAGGCCCCACCCCCGAGGGAGATACACTTGGGGGGACCCAGAAGAAGGGCCTTCTCCGTGGTTGCTCCCTCTCTCTGGAACATCGTTCCCCCAGAGATTAGAATGGCCCCCTCTCTAATACTCTTCCGGAAGGCACTGAAGACCTGGTTCTGTCAGCGGGCCTGGGGAACCCAGAAAGGGATGGAGCCCATTAAATGGCTCGTGTGATCTGCTGTCGCTGGGGGTGGGGGTGGGAGTTGGGGAGTGATTTTTTATTTATTTATTTTTCTAGATTTTGTTCTATTGTACTTTTATTAATTTGATTCTTTTTGTTAGTTTTTATTAGGTTTTTTTTTTTAATATGGTTTTACATTCTGTAAGCCACCTCGAGTTGCCATGGGCGAATAGATCAATAAGTCAAGGACTACCTGTATGTGTTCATTCTCTGCCTATGAATTAGACCAGAGGTGTCAAACTTGTGGCCTGGATGCGTCACGTTCCGGCCCCGCCCCTGACCAGTTTAGCGAAGGGGAAAAAAGTGCTGATATGTCACATGACAACACAAGTTTGACACCCCTGAACTAGACTGAAGACAGTCATCCAACAGTTCTTTATGTGACTGAATTTTAATTTGTTTAAGAATTGACCTTTTCATTTTATATTTAGGTACATTTAGGTTTTTCTCTTATTAGTTTATTTTTATTTATGTTTT